TAGGACTCAGACTTGCCATCTGATGCTTTATGCTCATTGGCAGGCATCCTACCACCCAGGCCACACCTCCAACTCCCCAAATGTTATGAAATATGTATTTATGAAACCAGTATTTCTAATTAAAATGTCACCCTGGTGTTCATAGCATGTCAGCATTGGTGGATTTTCTATACATGTCTGTAGTAGTACACACACACACACACACACACACACACACACACACACACACACACACACACACACACACACACACAATTCACCTTTAGGAATGCAAAGCTTCCAAACCAGGCAGTATTAGAAGGCATACTGTTCTTACTTGTAATTATGCAGTTAATCTAAAGGGAAAGATTTTGTTAAAGAGGTGAGCCTTAATTAGATTTACCAGTAAATCTTTCAGAGCTCATTCAGGTTTGGATTATGGGATTGAGTGGATTCTGTAGTGAAGGAGGAGATGAAATTAATGGCTTCATCAAGTGTATAAAAGAAGAGCTCAGCCACAGAACTGTGCAGTCTTGGGCAACACCTTCCACAGAGACCTGGCTGCCTTGTCAAGAGCCATCCATGAAGAATTGGTCCTCTACCATCCACAAACTTGAATTTGGTGAGTGCTGGATATGTTCACTTGGAGAAGGAAACTTCAGTCTTGTGAATTTTAAGATGAAGATGATTTAAAAACTATTTGCTCAACATAGTCTTTTCTTTTTTATCTGTCAGTTGTGGGTCCTGAACTCTGAGCCTGGGTGCTGTCCCTCAGCTCTTCAGCTCGAGGCTAGCACTCTACCACTTGAGCCACAGCACCACTTCTGGCTTTTTCTGCTTATGTGGGGCTGAGGAATCAAAGCCAGGGCCTCATGCATGCAAGGCAAGCACTCTACCACTGAGCCACCTTCCCAGCCATCTTTTTTTTTGTGTGTGTGCCAGTTCTGGGGCTTGAACTCAGGTGCCTGGGTGCTCTCCTTGAGCTTCTTTGTATTCAAGACTAGTGCTCTGCACTTGAGCCACAGTGCCACTTCCACCTTTGCTGAGTAGTTGATTGGAGATAAGAGTTTCACAGACTTCCTGTCTGGACTGGCTTCAAAGCACGATCCTCAGATCTCAGCCTCCTGAGTAGCTAGGATTATAGGCATGACCAGCAGTGCCCCGCTTTGCTCAGCAACATATTCTATGACAGGACTTCCAAGGTCAAAAGAGGTTGTTGTGAGAATATAGACTTTTCCTATATTATATCATATGTAGGATTACATGCTAATTTCACTACTTCCAAGTAGTGAAATTTTAGTAATGGTTTTTAGTGATTCAACCAGTGGAGGAGGACATTTGATCAGTTATTCTAAGTAAATAAAAAGCTGGAATAGCATTGTAATAAGGGCAAAACAGGTAGAAGGTTAATGGAGTGGGGGACTCTGGGAAGTGGTCTCTGAGAATACACATTACATTTGGCCTGAAGAAATTGAGAACTGAGGTGGCTCTCCATGGGTCTGAAGGAGGATACTGATATTCAATTCAGCAAGCAAAAGAGTGCTGATCGACACCAGGGATTGCTCAGAACAATGGGGTAGCTGTAGGAAGGAGTCTTTTTGAGTTGTTTCTAGGGGGATGTTGGATAGAAGTGAGTTTCAGATACCCAAAATACCAGAAAACTTCTTGAAGCCAGGCACTTGATGGTGGCTCAGACCTGTAATACTTGTTACTCAGGAGGCTGATATCTGAGAATCATAGTTAAAAGCCATTTTAGGAAGGCAGATCTGTGAGATTCTTATTTCCAATGAACCAGCAAAAAGCCAAAGTGGAGACATGGCTCAGGTGGTAGAGCAAGCCATAGCCTTGAATGAACAAGTTCAGCTTGACTGTGAGGACCTAAGTTCCAGTCTCAGTTTTAAAGAAAAAAGAAAAGAGAGAAAAAATTGCTCAAAAGGTTAAATTTAAATTTTTCCAAGTGAAAGATGACAGAGACCCACATATATGTGAAGGAAAAATGGGGCTAGTGTGATGGACAGTACCTTGGTGATCTTAGTAAGTCCTAAATGTCAGAGTTGATAATGAAATGGAAATTTCCCTTTTGACTTTCAGTTTAATTGGGAAGAAGGAGACAGGAAAGCACAACACAGTGATCAGAGAGGTTTATGTAGTGTTTCCTTCACAACGGTGGACAGAGTTTTGTAATGGGTCCATAGAGACAGAAGTATAGAGGAGGCTGGTACATCCAAGTTTTGGCCAAGGACAAATTATAGTATCTATCACTTTTTATTTTATTTTTTGTTGGTTGTGGAGCTTGAACCTTGGGCCTGATGCTATCCCTCAGCTCTTCAGCTCAACACTAGCATTCTACAACTTGAGCCTCAGCACCACTTCTGGTTTTCTGAGTGGTTAATTGGGGATAAGAGTCTTATGGACTTTCCTGCCAGGGCTGGTTTGAACTGTGATCCTCAGAACTCAGCCTCTTGAATAGCTAGTTTTACCATTATGAGCCATCAGCATCTGGATTTATTATTATTATTATTATTATTTTTGTGGGGGGTCTGGTCGTGGGGCCTGAACTCTGGGCCTGGGTGCTGTCCCTCAGCTCTTGAGCTCAAGGCTAGCACTCTACCACTTGAGCCACAGTGCCACTTCCAGCTTTTTTTTTTTCTTTTTGCTTATGTGGTGCTGAGGAATCGAACCCAGGGCCTCAGGCATGCAAGGCAAGCGCTCTACCACTGAGCCACCTTCCCAGCCCTGGATTTATTATTTTTTAAATGGTTTTAATTTGTATATCTTTTTGTGCATGTCTCTATCTCAGATAATTAGCTATTTTTTAGTAAAATATCGACACTAGCTGCCAATATAAGAATAAATTGATTTGGAAGTCAAAAAATTAAGACTTGATGCGACATCAACAATAAAATGCCCAAGGAAGCAGGAGAGAAAGGACTTAATGGAGAATAGGACTTACCCTGGAGCAGAGGAGGCATCAGTGGTTAGTAGACAAGTGACTGGGAATGCAGATGGGTGGTCCAAGGTGGATCTCTTGCACAAAGCTTCCTCTCCTAATCCTCCTTTATACATTGAAACGCTTCCAGATAACTTAGATGTGATGCAGCAGAAATGGCATACAAATAGTTGTTACACTGTATTGTTTGAAGACTAGGGAAGAAGAGAAAAACAGCCTGTATGTGCAATGGTTTTCAAATACTCTCTGTAGGTGGTTGTTGAAATGAGGATTCCAAAGCTACCAAAATGTATGTTCAAATATTATTCACATAAAAGGCATGAAGGTACTTTGAGATATAAATGAGGCAGAAAAAACTAATTTCACTAGCAGGTTACACTAGTTTGCGTATTGTGTAACTGTAGTTAGACAAAAGATTAAAACCTGTCAGACTCCACCAGGGAGTAAGGAAAAGCTTTTTTGTTTTTGTTTTTTAAACCAATCATAGGACCTGGGCCTGGGCACTATCCCTGAGCTTCTTTTCCTCAAGGCTAGCACTCTACCACTTGAGTCACAGCACCACTTCTGGCTTTTTCTGTAATGTGGTACTGAGGAATCACCAGGGCTTCATGCATACTAGGCAAGCACTCTACCACTAAGCCACATTCCTAGCCCAAGAAAAACTTTTCAATATTCAGAACTGGCATTTGATCAGTAAATGCACTAAATGTCAGGCAGATGTGAGCATGTTGTCATTTCTTTGAAAGTGTGCAAATAAGGAATAATGCATGCAATGAATAAGATTCAGTTTGAGGACTGATAAGAGGCAAAGAGCATTACAAAAAGTACATTCCTTGGGTTTGAGAATGTAAGTCTGGAAAGCTTCTTTCTTTTCCTTTCTTTCTTTTTTTTGGGGGGGGGTCTATCATGGGGCTTGAACTCTGGGCCTGGGCACTGTCCCTGAGCTCTTCAGCTCAAAGCTAGCACTCTACCACTTGAGCAAGAGTGACACTTCTGGCTTTTCCTGCTTATGTGGTGCTGAAGAATCGAACCCAAGGCCTCATATGTGAGGTAAGCACTCTACCACTGAGCCACCTTCCCAGTGCCCCCTGGAAAGCTTTTCTATCAATTAGAGGAGGGAAGAAAGTTATGAAAACTGGAGTGAGGATCTGATTTATATCTGAAATTGACATCCACTGTTAGGCTAGGTAAGAAATGTACCACTAGAAATAACATGTTTAGCAATGTGAATGGGATTACAATTAGACTAGAATTAAAATCACATTCAAGCTGGGAGCTAGGGACTCATGCCTATAATCTTAGTTACTCAGGAGTCTGAGATCTGAGGATGGTGGTTCAAAATCGACATGGGCTGGAAAGTTTCAGACTGTTTTTTTTTTTTTTTGCCAGTCCTGGGTCTTGAGCTCAGGGCCTGGGCATTGTCCCTGAGCTTCTTTTTGCTCAAGGGTAGCACTCTACCACTTGAGCCTGAACACCACTTCTACCTTTTTCTTTTCTTTCTGTTTATGTGATACTGAGGAATGAAACCCAGGGCTTCATGCATGCTAGACAAGCACTCTGCCACTAAGCCACATTCCCAGCCTCTCATGAGACTCTTATCTCCAGTTAATCACCAAAAAAAGCCAAATGTGGAGCTGGGACTCAAGTGCTAGAGTACTAGCCTTGAGCAGAAAAAAAAAGGAGAACTCAGAGACAGTGCTCAGGCCTGAGTACAAGTCCCAGGAACTCTTTTTCTTTTTCTTTTTCTTTTTCTTTCTCTCTCTGTCTCTGTCTCTCTGTCTCTCTGTCTCTTTCTGTCTCTGTCTCTCTCTCTCACACACACACACACGATTCCATTGGTTATACTTTGAATTATGTAATATTACCATGGTACTAGAACAATAGTTATTCATTGTTAATATAGTAGAATCAGAAGTTTTATTGAGAGGATTGTATAGATAAATATTTGTAATTCTGCAAGTAGTAGATCAGATTTTATTTCATATTTATTTATGTATTATGTACGTATGTGTTTTTAGGTCCCTAGAAGGCAATCAGAAGTATACAGATTCCTGGACAGCACTATCAAGAGATGGGGAATTCCCTAGGAATCGAATGGCCATTAACTTTAACTCGTCATCTAAACCGATTAATTCATCATCTCAACCGTTCGTCTGAACAAGTTTTTAAGCTGGAAACAACTATAGACAAAGAAGAGTGTATGATCTGCTTGGAAGACCTTGTCTTTGGGGACATTGTCCGACAGTTGCCATGCCAGCATGTCTTTCATTCAGAATGCATAGAAAAGTGGCTAGTGATATCCCGCACCTGCCCCTGCTGCAGGAGGTACGCTGCTCGAACTTGATGGATACCAAGACAAACAATGATATTGGTAGCTTTGACCTTTATCATCTAGTACAAGGAGCCAGCCTGAAGAATTCTGAACAGTTTTTGAAACATTCCTCAGTGAAAATGGGGATTGGGATACAGCAAGTGACATTAAAAAAAAAACAAAACTTACAAAGCAAGTAAGATGATATGTTATGTCTGGCAATGCTTGGGATTGAAGTCAAGGCCTTATGCTTTTCAGACAAATCTTGTACCACTCTTGGTCCCTGGCCCCAGGATTTTTCCTTATGTTTAGTTTTTTAGATAGGGTCTCAAGCTTTTACTGGGATAACCTTGGACACAGATGTACTTACACTACCTCCTGAGTACCTGGGACTGAAGACACATGTCACCACAACTGACCCAGTAAGATGACAATCCATCCACCCATGATTCATAACTATAATTGCATTGAGGTCTTGTGGGTGTTCCAGCACATAGGGGTTGGCTAACGTGTACCAACAACGCTGTGATATTCCATCTTTTTCTGCTTCTGTGGTGCTGAGGAATCGAACCCCGGGTCCCATGAATGCAAGGCAAGCAATCTACCACTGTGCCACCTTCCCAACTCCCTGAAGAAATCTTTGTCTCACAACTCTCTGAGTCCCTGTGGCTACTGGTACCCTGTGACTATGTTTGCCCTGTGATATCTGCCCCATGGTCTTCTGTCTTCAGACTCTTCCTCTGCCTTCCACTTAGGAGCATTTGTGATTTCATTAAGAGTCCACTTAGAGCTGGACACCAATGGTTCATAATTGTAATCTTAGCAACTCAGAAGGCTGATATTTGAGGATTATGGTTCAGAGCCATCCCTAGCAGGAAAGTCTGTGAGACTCTTATCTCTAATTAATCACAGAAAAATCCAGAAGTAGAGCTGTGGCTCAAGTGGTAGAACACTAGCCATGAGCAGAAAAGGTGCACAGGGCAAGTCCAGAGTCTAAGTCCAGAGTTCAAGCCCCAGGACTGGCAAAAGAAAGAGAAGAGAGATCCACTAAGAGATGGATGCCAGTAGCTCCTGCTTGTGCAATCCTGTCTACTTAGTAGGTTGAAATCTGAGATTGAAGTTTGAAGCCAGCCGAGGCAGTAAAGTCCATGAGATTCTTATTTCCAATTAATCCCCCAAAACCTGGAAATGGAGGTAGAGCAAGTGGTAGAACACCAGACTTGAGAACAAAGCTAAAAGAGTGTCTAAGCTTTGAGTTTTAGTTCTAGTACTGGCACTAAAAATTAATAAAGGAGCTCACTTGGATAATCTAGGCTAATCTCTCCTTCTCAAGATTCTTAATCTAATCACTGCAGCAAAATACCCCTTTCCTAAGATACAGGCTTCAGATCAGGAATTGCTATAGGATAGCACAGAGCTCCCTCCATTGTTGTTATTATTGTTTTTCTGTTGTTCTGGGGCCTGAACTTTGGGCCTGGGCGCTGTCCCTCAGCTCTTCAGCTCATGGCTAGCACTCTACCATTTGAGCCACAGCCCCACTTCCACCTTTTTTTTTTTTTTTGCTTATGAGGTGCTGAGGAATCAAACCCAGGGCCTCATGCATGCGAGGCAAGCACTCTACCACTAATCTACCTTCTCAGTCCCCTCTATGGTTTTTTATCCCTAAGCCTTGTTTTCTTTCTGACACTCCTGCTTCAAGTTCCCAATCACAGTTTATCTTTGCTAAAGAGAAACAGCAAAGAGTATTCCAGGAACTGATTTCTGGCCTTTGAAATTTCCTTTGGTTCCCCACTCTGACCTTTTTTTTGTTGTTTTGTTTTTGTGGTTACAGCCATATAATGCTCTAAGCTGGGGCCACATACTCTTATGCACCAGCTGTAAATAGTCAAGCTTACACAGAAATCCAGTATCATCCAAATCAGCATGCGATTAAAGCCAAGCCAATAGCGTGAATTTCTTATTCTAAACAAAGCAAAAGGAAGGAGCGATACCCAGTCTGTGCCAGTCTCCAAGGCCAATTTAGTTAAAGTCTCTTTTAGAGTCCGATTCATTCTTTCTACCTGCCCTGAATTCTGGGGTCTATAAGCAGAGTGCAATTTCCAATCTGTCCCCAGTGCCGCGGCTATTCCGACTTACTTTTGAAATGAAGGCCAGTCCATTGTCCGACCCGATGGTGGATGGGAAGCCATACCTGGGTAGAATTTCTTCCAGGATCTTCTTAGCCACGACTTTCGCCGTCTCATGCTTTGTTGGGTAGGCTTCAACCCATCCTGAAAAAGTGTCTACAAAAACTAGCAAATATTTATATCCAAATTTTCCAGTTTTAATTTCTGTGAAGTCTACTTCCCAATATTCACTTGGCCTATCTCCACGGAGGCGAGCTCCCTTTGTAACCGGTTGATTGGGGGCATTGGTGAGCTGACAGGCTTTACAATTTTTAACAGTGTCCTCAATGAGTTGATTTCCTTGCCTAATTTTTACTTCTGAGTGTCAGAGCAAGTCCTGCATTCTTCAGGTTCCCATGTGAGAGACCCAATTGATTCTCTTAAGAATCCCCTTGCCCAATCTTTGTGGCAAGATAAGTTTCCCCTCACCAGTTTACCATCAGTCTTTGTTTCTTTCTCTGTCCGGGGGTTTATAGGCCATGGGAATTTTCTTTATCCACTCCAAGTCTTCTTGGGAGTGCTGAGGCTCAGGAGGCAAATCTTGTTGCCCTGGGTCTACTAGAGTCAGTACTTCCGCTCTGGGCTGGAGGGCCGCCTCCTTAGCTGCCTGATCGGCCAAGTTATTTCGTTTGGTTATAGAATCAGTTCCCTTTTGATGGCCAGGGCAGTGCATAATGACAATATTTGCTGGTTCCCTTATGGCGTGGATGAGGCTTAAAATTCCCTCAGCTGTCAGCAGCGCCCTCTCTTGGTAAATGGCTCCATGCACAGTCGCAAAAGCATACCAACTGTCCGTGTGAGTGTTTAGTCTCTTCCCTTTTCCCATTTGTAGGGCTTTTGTTAGTGCCACTAGTTCTGCTCTTTGTGCAGACGTTCCCTGGGGGAGTGCTTCTGCCTATGCTATCTCAGTGTCCGTGGAGACTGCTGCACCCATGTACCTTTTTCCATCTCGAATGAAACTGCTGCCTTCTGGGAACCAGGTATACGCAGCATGCGATAGTTGCGAGTCCATCAAGTATGGCCTCTTTTCCTCAGCCCAATCTCTCTTTTCACGCTCAATTTCATGTTCTCTGTCCTTCCTTTCCTGTCTTTGCTCCTCTGTCTCTCTCTTACTGTAAACCTTTTCGGCCAAGGCTACTAAATCCCTAATAGACTTTTCACCAAATCTGTCCAGAGCTTGCAACTTTTGCTTTATGTCTGATACAGCTTGATTTATATAGGCAAACATAATCATCTGAGCCGACTCCTGGGTCTCAAGATCATACAGAGCATATTGACTAAAAGCTTCCATGAGCCGCTCAAGATATGCTGCCGGACTTTCACTTCCTCCCTGTCTTATATCATAAACCTTGGCCATAGTAGTAGGTTGTGATCTGCCACCTTGAGACCTGCCAAACAGAGCCTGGTGGTATACAAGGAGTAGCTCCCTACCTTCAACCGTATTGTAGTTCCATGTTGGTCGGATCTCAGGAAAATGCGCAGCGATCAGGGCAGGCTCCCTGATGGGAGCTCCTGTGGGGCCAGGGATATGTTTCCAGGCCACCTCTCAGATATGGTCTCTCTCTTCGGTGGTAAAAAGGACCTGTACAAGCTGACTGCAATCATCCCAAGTGGGCTGATGAGTAAAGAGAATAGTTTCAAGCAAACGAATTAAATCCTGGGGTTGCTCAGAAAAGGGAGCATTTTGGGTGCGCCAAGTGTATAAATCACTAGTAGAAAATGGCCAATTTTGGAGTTGCTGTTGACCATACACATCCACAGTACCTATGGTGCTTAAGGGAAAAACAGCTGCATAAGATGGGGGGTTGATCCCACAGCGGCGGCCAGTGACTGGCCCCTCAGAAACTTTAAGGGCAGGTGCTGAGGGTTCTATAGCTCCCTCCTCCTCTTGATCATTCTCAGGTTCTGCAAAAGGAACCTGGGAAGGGGAGTATGGGGGAGGAAACATTTCTTCTTCCAAGTTATCTCCCTGAAAAACCAGGGGGGTACCTTTTCTTTTCCTCTTAAGGGGCTAAATGGAGTGGTGCCCATGGTTTCCAGTCCCGTCAGTCCTTCAGTCCAAAAAACAATAAACAGTACAAACAAAACATGCGCAGGCCTGACAATTATGAAATAAAGCTTACAAAGTGGAGATCTCCCGAATTGGTCCGCTACTCCTGTCATGGGACATCCATGCCCCACAGCAGAAGGAGCAGACCCACAGTGGGAGAGTTGGGCCTCAGTTAACACCGAACCCACCCTCACCCCACAATTCACACGGGCGAGGTTCCAAGGATCCTTCTGCCCCTCCGCGCCCCCCCTCACACGGCAGGGTTCCAAGGACCCCAACCCACATGGCGGGGATCCAAGGACCCCGGCCCCCACGGTGGGGTTCCAAGGACCCCCGCCCCACATGAGGATCTGGGACGTCTCCCACTTTCTCCAGGGCTGTCGTGCAAGCGCGTCCAATTCGACAACTCTTTACGAATCGGAGCAGCCATCCTCACAAGGGAAAACAAATGTAAAAGAGACAAATGACAGGACAAGACAAATTAACAAAGACAGCGCTATTTTACCTTTGGAGTCTGAGGTCTGGGGGGGGGGGTCTTTGGGAGGTATCCCGGATGAGCCCCCACTTATATGTTATGCCAGGGTTGCAGGACCCCCCACAAGAAGACCACTGAGAGTCAGACTCTACAGCTGTTTTATTTAAATGGGCTGTAGCTCGGGCCTTGTCCTACACTCCGACACAGTGGAGCCTAGGAGGAGATCCCCGAGCTATAGATTTGCAGGTCTTATATAGGCACACAATCAACCAGGTGTTTTGATTACCACCACGTGTTGCTTTGCTAGACAGAAACAAGCAACAC